GTCTCCATAAACCGTGTAGCCAACATGGGTAGAAAATGGTCATACCTTTTAGATGATTCCTTAATGCTTTTAGCATAGACTAGTGGATCCACCTAGTGAGTAGGTTCTATACCCCGACAAAGTATAGGACAGCCCTGACAGCGTGCGACAAGACTTTGTATCATCACATAGCTCATAGTGATGGTTGTCAGTTAGAGAAACTCCCACAGTGATATTTTGTATTCTTATATACACAGAGTTTACTTTTTATTTTCATATACAAGAAAATTTTATCTTGTATCATTGCATACAAACTGAGTTACTATTGCATTTTTCAATACATTGAGTTGTTTTCTACTGTTTTAAAAGCTTTCTATATATTGCATATGTATTGTTGCTTTATATTGAGTTGAATATCCAGAGTTGAGTATCCAAATTTGAGTACCCAGAGTCAAGTGTCTTATTATCGAGTCGAGCCTTATTTCACTGAGTTGAATATCTTATCATTGAATTGATCCCTATTTTCTCTGAGTTGAATTGAACTATGTTTCTTTGAGTTGAGTGAGTTGAGAAGAGGTAAGTATATTTCTATTCCACCAGTTCAAACTTATGTTTATGCTTTAGAATTCCCCTTACATTCTCGTACATTCCATATACTAAGCCATTTGTCCTGCATCGTTTCATGATGCATATACATGTACTCAAGATGTGCTTCGTTGATACCGCATGCAGTTCGAGTTAGCTATAGTGAGCCTCCTTGCTTCCGGAGGGTTCCACTTGTACTTTCAGTTATATCGGTTGTTAGGATGTCATGGGTCTTGTCCCAACTTCCATCTTTGTCAGTTAGAGGCTTCATAGATAGACAATAGAGTTTCAGAAGTCTGTTCATTTATTTTGTTAAATGTTTTAAAGACTTAAGTTGCCTCTTTTATGGCGAGTTGAATATATTATTTTTATTCAATTTTTAAGCTTTTGTATGATTGAGTTAGTCTTCCGCTTGTAGTCAGCCAGGATGAGGGTTCGCTTGGGGACCAGCAATAGTTCTCGAGTGTCGGCCACGTCCAGGGTGTAGGCTCAGATCGTGACAGACGGAGGAAGGAGTAAATTAGGGGTAATAACTGCTCCTTCCAACTTTTATGATATCTTCTTTATTTTGAAACATGCGAAATTTATATGATAAAACATTTTTGATTTTTCAAGATAACTTTTTATTATAGTCCTCATAATATTTGATAAAACATACGTCCATTATACTATTTTTGGATGCCCAACAATATTTGTTTATTGTATGAAATTAATGTATAATATTAATTTTACATTTAGTTTCTAATTTACCCATATCATTAATTATAGATATTTTCCTATTGCATTTTTTAAGAAATTGTGTTTATTATATTTAAAGAGTGATATAATAAAAATACTCTTATATTTATAATTTCGTAAGAACTGTGCAAAGTTAATAGTAAAAAAATATTATTGTACAGAGGAAGTATTTAATTTTCAATTACTTGAAATATATGTTTTGATTCCTTTATCGTCAAATATAAAATAACAATACAAACTTAAGTAATTAAGTAGAGGAGTTCTCAATAATTATGACAAATAAATATTCACGAGGAAAGAAATTAAGAATACATATCTCAATCAATTAAAAGTTAAATATGTTTAATTAAATATTACGGGGACTAAAATTGAAATTTAGCAATAATTAAGAAGCCAAAAGTGCTAATACAACTTCTATTATTTTCAAGAATTTTAATTTTTTAAAACAATTCGACTTTTAATATTAATGTTATGTTTTTACAATATCACTAATATACATAAATTAAACTAATTTACCTATTCTAATTTACGTGACATTTTTTGCACTTTCAAAAGTCAAAACCTTTTAATTTAACTATGAATTCAGATATGAATTTTTAAATTTTGTTAAAAATAAAATTTACATATTCAAACGAAGTAAAAATTATTATAACCCATAATAATTATTAATTTAAAATATTGTGAAAAGACGGTAGTCAAGGAAATACTCGTTTGACTTTCGAAGTTCAAAAACATGCCACATAAATTCAGATGGAGGAAATAATTTTTTATATTCGATATACAATCAAATAATATATAAAATAAGGCGAACAAAATATTATTATTTTCAAAAAGTTATTACGTAAGGGATAAGGAACGAAAAAAAGGAAGAAATGATTACCCAATTAAGAATTGAACCTTTATAAATAAGATAAAAGTTGAGATAATCTACTAATTAAGCTAGTAAGATTCCGACAAAAGAAAATATTAGAAACTTGTAATAAAAGGTAAAAAAAAAAAACAGCATTATTACGTTGATGATAAAGGGTGGAAATCTATGTCAAGCTATAAAAAGTCTATAACTAAAATCGACAAAGCCAATTTAGAAGCTAGCCAGCTGGCATTAATGTGTCCTGTAAACGTGGCATCCAATATTATTTCCCAGTTGGCATATAATTATATTTTTCTTTTCAATTAATTTGGCCCCATTTTTATTTTTATATTCTCAAGTTGGCCCTTTTGACTTTTAAATCATTAGGACTATTTTATTCAAACACCACACGCTTTAGCTTACCTTAGCCTTAAGCTATTAAAAAAACCACAGCACAAATATTAAAGAGATGCTACAAATAAATAAATCAATGTCAACGCATTTAATTTCTCCTACACCTTCCCCATGAAACCATATAAAAATTAAATAAAACATTTATGAAAATGAAAGTAACAAAAATAGTGAACTATCCACCCAAAGAAGCATCGAATATAAGAGTGTATTTTTTTCCTAAGGGATATTTATAAATAATTTAATTTTAAAATTTTCATTATTTATTTAACTTGAGAATTATAACCACAATGTTATTTTAAAAATATTTTGTGCTCAATTATATATAGAATCATTTAGTAGAGCGTATAAAACTAGTGTTGAATAAGGTTTATTAGTAATGTTGAAAATATATTTTATCACGGTTTGATTTAGAGCATTAAAGACAATTCTATCTTTAATCATGCTTATTGTATATTTTCTCCATTTCTAAATACGTGACATCCTTACTTCACAATATTTTTCATTTTAGAAGATTAAGACATAGAGTAATTAGTTATTTATTTCAACTTTCATCCTTAGTCATAAATATGTAGATATATTAATGTTATGCAAAAGAATAAAATATCAACTTGATAGAAGTAATAAATAAGAATAAGTTAGTCAAATTACCATCTACTAATGTTTTTCACAATTGTATGAGTAAGGGTAATATCATGATATGTTATGTATGTAGTCATACATAAACTGAAAATTCTATCAAATAAAAGGTTAAAACAATATCGTATCTAATACATCTTATCTATGGATATTCATAGTTTGGATAGAAATCGATCCAAATTGAAAAATTAAACTAAATCAATAAAATAAATCGATTTTGTTTGAGTTTACGTTTTAAATTACCAATATTATTTAGTTTAATTTTACTTTTGTTCAACAAATTCGAAAAAATAATCAAACCGACAAATTATATATATACTTTTCTAATTATATATACAAAATATATTTATAAATATTTATAAATATCTTATAGTATACATTTCATTGATAAAGTTTATTACTTTATTTATGAAAGTAGAAAATTTTTAAAAATAATATTTCAAAATTGTATATTTTTTATCACCCTACCGTATGTTTTAATTTTGATGAATGACCAATCCAATTCGATCTATAAACACCCTCTAATCCTACCAAACGATCTACTATTACATAAATTGGAGCGAAGGGAGTAATAAGTGCAATAACTAATATTCTTACTTTTTCATGTATCTAAAGTCAACTCCTCTATGCTTTTTTTGGCTCTTTTTTTTTTTCTTTTTTTCTCTCTCCACTTTTTCCTCTTCTTCTTGTGAATTTAAATGCTAAACCCCACAGTACCAATTATAAACTTTCAAATTTCAATCTTGATATTCCTCACTTCTTCTCTCATGGCAGCAGCTTTATTCTCTTCCTAATTATTCACTTTCAAATACTATTTCTCCATAAAAGAAATTGTTTACATCCATTTCCTTGAAGGCATAGTTTTTGTTTCAGTTTGAAATATCTTTATTATTATGTGCTTGACAACATGTTAAGCACGAACAACTAGTTACTGCAAAATCGAAATTCGAAGAATTGTTTGAAAATGGGAAACGGTATTGGAAAATTGAAGTTTTGTTTTGCAGGAGATGTTGGAGAAATATCCAAAAGACGCCATGATATTGGCATAGACTTAATTGATAGTCTTGATAAAGGATTAGGCCATTCATTTTGTTATATATTGCATGATTCATCATCTAAGAATCAACATTTTCTAGAAGATTCTTCTTCTTCCGCCACTACCACTATCTCCAGTAACAGCAGCAGCACCAGCCAAACGACGGCGTTTCGTACTATTTCCGGTGCTTCTATCTCCGCCAACACCTCTACTACGCCGCTGTCCACCGCCCTCGTCGACGTTTCCAATACTTACATTGAGAAGTCGTCGGCTTTTGAGAGCTCTCAGTGGTTTTCTTCTTTTCCTCTTCAGCCAATTCCCCGGAGATCAATCCACTCTATATGTTCGGGCCCGATTCCCCGAGTATCTAACTCGGGCTCGGGCCCGATCGAGAGGGGATTCCTTTCCGGCCCAATGGAGCGGAGTTTTACTTCTGGCCCGTTGGAGAATCAGTATGATCAGCAGCCACAGAGGTACAAACCTGAGTCTAGTAAATGGGATATAGTTAGGAATTTAAAGAAAGTTTTGTCAATGAATTTGGTTGAGAAGAAGAAGAATAATGGATCTTTGAACAGTTTGTATGAAGATGATGAGAATAATGGATCATTTCGAAGTCGAAATGTGCAATGGGCTCAGGGAAAAGCAGGGGAAGACAGAGTACATGTAGTGATTTCTGAGGAATATGGATGGGTATTTGTTGGGATTTATGATGGTTTTAATGGACCTGATGCTACTGATTTTTTATTGAAAAATCTTTATTCGAATGTATTCAAAGAACTCAAGGGATTGCTATGGAATGACAAGTTAGAATCCTCCGAAAATCTCATGTGTAACGAGACAGTTATTGTTCAAAATCAAGAATTTGATCAATCAAAGATTGCAGGTATTGATCATTTAGATGTGTTGAATGCGTTATCTGAGGCGTTGAGGAGAGCTGAGGAATCATATTTGGAGATAACGGACTCGATGGTGAATGAAAATCCCGAGTTAGCCTTAATGGGATCATGTGTTTTAGTGATGTTGATGAAAGGCAATGATGTTTACTTGATGAATGTTGGAGATAGCAGAGCAGTTTTGGCTCAAAATCCTGAACCCGATCGTTCCATTGGTAACTTGGGACTGATAAATGAGGGGAGTCGAAATAGCATTGATACACTCTACAGAGTTGTATCAGACAGAAAACACAATCTTAGTTCTTGTCAACTCACTATGGACCATAGCACATCTGTTAAAGAGGTACATCCACTTTTAGTCCAAAAAATTCGATATTTTGGTGTTTCATAGACTAATACTCATGTTTGTCTGGTAAATTGTTGCAGGAAGTTCTTAGGATTAGAAGTGAACATCCTAGTGATACGTCTGCTATTAAAAATAATAGAGTGAAAGGTTCTTTGAACGTCACTCGAGCTTTTGGTGCAGGCTTTCTTAAACAGGTATTCTCAACGTTAACAATACACTTTTCGTGTCTATGATCATAAGTCATAACAAATGCCTAGCATTCTCTTCAATCGAACTTCTTTAAACTCGTTCAATTTAACAAGTTTTCGTGTTAATGTCATTTCTGTTTGTGTGATATTACAGCCTAAATGGAACAATGGACTTCTAGGTGTTTTCAGAATAGACTACGTTGGAAATTCACCGTATATTAATTGTATACCATCATTATACCACCATAGACTTGGTCCAAGAGACAGATTTCTGATCTTATCATCTGATGGACTTTATCAATACTTCACAAATGAAGAAGCAGTCTCTGAAGTTGAGACTTTCATGTCTATATTCCCCGAGGGAGATCCCGCGCAACATCTCGTTGAAGAAGTGTTATTTAGAGCTGCAAAGAAAGCTGGTAAATATCTCTACTTATGAGAATTCTAAGTACTACAATTTTTCATAGAAATCGAACTAAATGACTTTTGTCCTACGATTTCACAGGCATGGACTTCCACGAGTTGCTTGATATACCACAAGGAGATCGTAGGAAGTACCACGATGATGTTTCAATCATCATCATATCATTTGAAGGTAGGATATGGAGATCATCCGTGTAAATCAACTGTATAAAGGAAGCCTTTTGTGTTGGGATATTGTAAGTGACAAAGTGGCCTTACTGCAACGATCCATTGAGATTCAACCCTTTGGTTCTCTAATTTACCCCCAAAGATAAAAACGAAAACTTTTGTGCTCTTATCCATACAAAACAATACACTTAGAAAAGTTCAAACTAGTTTTGCTCATTAACATGTTTGTTGCTCAGGGGATTGTAAAGGTGCCAATAAAGTTGCCCCTTTTTTCCCTTCAAAAGTAAAAATCTTAGGATATTTGTAACAGAATATTCTGCTCATTGTACATATATTCCTAGGTGTGTCTATCACACAACCTGATACCTCAAATAGACTCGATCTTATTGGTCGAAAATTCTTTTATTTTTCTCCATAGTTTTGGTCTAGTTTCAGATTATACAAATCTTGTACTTGCTTTTTTGAACATATTATAACTTATCCAAGAAGAATCTGCAGGAGGAATCAATATGATAGGACAGTGTATATGGCATAATGCTTTAAAGCAAATTGAATTGACAAGAGGGAATGGTTGACATAAATTTGAATTGCTTGTGGAATTCTTTTGCCACGTATTATCCATATGTTGTTTGGGTGTGTGTGCGAGGTGGGGTGGGGGGTGGGGGTGTAATATAAATTTCAAAATATAGAACAATTAGTCAATGTTGGTGGAAGCTTGAACTATACTACTGATTTTGTCTTCCATTTCAAACAGCTTCTTGCTTTACTTTTGCTAATTGTTTAATCATGAATCATCCTAGTAGACCAAAACCTGCCCAATATAGGTCATCATCAATGAATATGAAGCGGATGAAAATCACGAGAGATCAGTAATGATAGAATTACGTTTTTCATTAATGAAAATCAAAATATAAAAAGATATCTATACATATTCTTAAGGACATTCAAGAGAAAAGTAAATTGATTCCTCTTGGAGGCTCGGGCAAGTGTGACTTCGCCCTTGGAGATCAGAGTTCAAATATTAGCGTAGATAAAAATAATAATAGGTGATTATTTCTTATATGCGGAAGCATCAATGGACAAAATTATGTAGTAGTTATGCTCAGCGTCCGAGTTAGAAATTCATCCAAAGAAATTCAAAATTTCTATGTATGTTAAAAAAAAATTATATATGAAAAGGCATAAATCCCCTTATACTTTTATGCCTTCACCCTTGACTATGCTAATAAGAGGTCGTAGATACGATCTAAATAATCAAGATATGTGTAAATTAAACCAACAATATTACTGTTATAAATAAAATAATTGGTCATCACCCATTTGGTTGTTATGTTGGGAACTTTGAATTGATATTAAATATGAAAAGACAATTCACTAATTTTTATTTTTTAAAATTTATTTTGAAAGGTCTAGAAAGATCATTAGAGTAAATGCTCTTGGAATTCACATTTGAAGATCCACTAGAATTCTCCAGTTTAAGAAGACTTTCATTACTACTTAATCCTCTATTACTACTTAAATGGAAAGTTGTTGGCTGAAAATGGATATAGTCAATTAATCTCATGATGATTGTCACAAAATAAATAAATTAATTAAGCTCATGATTTTTAATAAACATAGTCAATTAAGCTCTTGATTTTCAATAAACCTACGCGTTTTCTTTTGTTAATCCAACCCACTAATAGAAAGAGAAGTTAAAACAAAAGAGCCATATAAGTCATAGTTTGTGACATATGAAATATTAAAAAAGTAGGTACATATTGATCTAGCTAGAAAAAACATATATAGTAAGTAGTACCTGACATGTTTCTGAAATATTACTCCCTCAATCTTTTAAAGAAATTATAAATAAGAATATTAATTTTACTAATTTGAATATTTCTTTTTTGGAATATTACAAACTTGTTTTACGCTTTCAAAAGAAGAAATAATCATAAGGATAAAATGGAATTTTTTAAATTAATTTTATCTTGATTTTATAAATTAACAAGTAATATGGGAAAATTATTAATAGAAAGCATCTAAAAATAATTGTTCTAAAGTATTTGTCAATTTAAAAAATTAAGAGAGAATCAATTATTATTTTCTACCTTTGTCTTGACATTAATTATTCTAGAATTAAATAACACACAAATAGGTAAAGATCAAATATTTTTTCTCGTTGTTTACTTTTACTTGTCAACTATTTCAAAAATAAATGTTCACTTTTACTTGTGACGTTTAAACATAGCAAGAAAAAATAATGCTTTTTTTCCCATGTTTTATCCTTAATACTAATTACTTAATCTCCAAAAAAAATAATCAAAATCTAATACTAAACATCAATTTAATAAAAATATGATAAAATTTTCATATCAATAATTATTTCTTAAGACAGTGTAAAGTAAACAAGTAAAACTATAATTATTTCTTAAAACAGTGTAAAGTAAACAAGTAAAACTGAATGAAAAAATAATAAAATATATATTAATCAAATTGAATTTCTAATTAATATTTTTATAAGAGGCGCAAAACCTTGTTGCTAATAACTAAATGGGAAATTACCAACAATGGTTGTGGTGGAGTGGTAAGCACTCCTTCATTCTTAACCAAGAGGTCGCGGGTTCGAATCTCCTTGGGTACGGAGTCGCCTTTAACTGTGGAAGCAGACTCGTGAAAAAGTCGTGTGCATCAAAGAAGGGGGCATGAGCGTTTTACCCCACAATGTGAAACTTCCCGGCGCGGATGCAGATTTAGTCGGGCTCCAATGTGGGTACAAGATACCGGGTGGGAAACCAAAAAATAAAAAATGGGAAATTGGGAATGCGCCGCCGTAAGGAGGATGACTTGTTCACACAAAACTAAGAAAGAAACAAATCAAATTGAAGTGGTTATTATATTCGTATTAAAGTTTGAATAAATTTGAATTTTTGCTTGAGCGTTTTACATTGGCGAGTAAAGTCCTTCTTACCAAAGGTAATTTCATATTCAGGAGTACTTAAACTCGAGACGAGTAAAGTCCTTCTTACCAAAGGTAATTTCATATTCAGGAGTACTTAAACTCGAGACGAGTAAAGTCCTTCTTACCAAAGGTAATTTCATATTCAGGAGTACTTAAACTCGAGACGAGTAAAGTCCTTCTTACCAAAGGTAATTTCATATTCAGGAGTACTTAAACTCGAGACGAGTAAAGTCCTTCTTACCAAAGGTAATTTCATATTCAGGAGTACTTAAACTCGAGACGAGTAAAGTCCTTCTTACCAAAGGTAATTTCATATTCAGGAGTACTTAAACTCGAGACGAGTAAAGTCCTTCTTACCAAAGGTAATTTCATATTCAGGAGTACTTAAACTCGAGACGAGTAAAGTCCTTCTTACCAAAGGTAATTTCATATTCAGGAGTACTTAAACTCAAGACGTCTGATTATGGAGGATGACTTATTCACAAAAACTAAGAAAGAAACAAATAAACTAGAAGTGTTTTTTTAGTATTTCAATATTCGTATCGAAGTCCAATTAAATTTGAATTTGTGTCAAAACGTCCCACATTGGAGAGTAAAACATTTTCTAACAAAGACAATTTCATATTCAGGGTTCAAACTCAAAATTTTGTTTAAGAATGAATGAATATTTATCACTCTACTATAATCCTGATTGGTTGAACCGAAAGTAGTTGACCCAAAGGCCGAAGCTACCAGACAAAAAGCTTACGTAATTACTAATTAGCCAATATTGCTTTTTACAAATTTTAAAAATAAAAAATGGATGGTTGGTTAGTTTTTTGATAATATAAATCAGAAGATGGTTGAGTGTTGTGGTGAGATGAATAAATATTTTCATCATTAATTAAATCTATCATTTTGAATACTGGGAATAAAAATTTCGGTAGGGACCCTTCTCGTGAAAATTTTGTGGATTTTTTTTGGAACGATTATTTAGTAAATAGGCTTCTTTTTATTTCTTCAGTAACTTATGAACCTTTTACATCACAATCTAAATATATTTATTTTATCAAAACAAAAAATCTTATAAAAAAAAGTTAGACCACAATCTAAAATTTGCAAATTACTACAAATGTTATACGATAATTTAATATTTTATTTGTAAGACAATTGAGTAATATATGAATAAATATTAAATTTGAGCTCAGTATCATCCAAAAAAGCAATTTCTCTAAAATTATATTTACACAACTTTTAACCATAGGACAAAATCTAAATAATCACTAAAAAAGTGTAAATTAGTATCATATGAAATCTTCGCCCGAAAAAAAATCCAAATTAATCGAAACACTAAAATTCTTATACCAAAATCCAATTAACCGAACCATAAAGAAAAATCATGAGATGCATGAACACGGAGGGGAAAATCAGCTACGTGAAAAATAATTTATTGTACAGAGTTACTTGTGGTTTTGGCAAACTCTAATTATATCTAGTGAACTTATTAATTCATAAAGTTATTTTTTTTTTTTGTAAAAAAAAAAGTCAAACACTGAAAATAAATAAATAAATTATATGTTCAAAGTATAGAAGAGTTGGTTTTGATTTTTGGACTATCAACATCACACACTTGAAAATACTTTTGCTGGTTAACATACTAGCAGAGTGATGGTGATGGTTATTTCACCTATAAAAAAGTCTAAAGAAAAAAAATCTTATATAAAAGTTACAATTATATTATATGTTATTTTGAAAAATTTTAATAGCTCAATTGATTGATCACATCTTAAATTTTCATTTTATTAATGCTAGTTCGATTCTCCATTTTATAATTTCCTACTCATAATTCCTTTTTTTAAATAACATTATTTTTTTAAGTGTTCCTAATTGATCCCTAATTTCAGGTGGATGGTTGGAAATTTGACTGAATTTATGGTTGAAATTTGTGAATTCCTTAAACATTTGAAAATTGAATTTATGAGTACATTATCTAGAATTTATTATATTTATATTCTATGTCGAAAATATTCAGTTTGATTCACTATTAAAAGATTACTATTCCTTAAACATATATTTTGATTGAATCGGTGAGAACATAAAATAGTAATATTTTCGTATAATTTTTTTTAAAAGTTTCCTACCATGCATTTTCCCATGCTGAGATGGTTCGATGGAAAATGAATGAAATTTTATTTTACTGGTTTGCCGTAGAAATTTTTTTGTTTCTAGTAGTGGTTGAACTTAACAATACCATTCTCCATTCGTACCGAGTGAAAATAAAAATAAAAATAAAAATGCCAGATTAAAAGTAATTAAGATTTGAATCATACCATTTGAGCTTAATTTTTTGCAATAAATTGCACAAAATGCACACTACTAAGTACTATCAATTGATACTAAACAATTATTAAAGTTAAAAGGTACTTACAAGTATTTTATTTTATTTTATTTTCACAATGAACTACAAAAGTTTTATTCTCTCATT